CCAGTTTGTTTCGTAAAACGGTTGAAACACACAGCACAGGACTTAAGGAGCTCCGATCGCCCTGTTGCCACATAGAAGATGGCGACGCTATTACCTACGACTAAGCGCTCCATGAGGCATCTACGTATTAATGTCTATGTTCAAAACAACCACAACTTTCTGACAGGAGTTAAATATGGCACCAGTTAAACATGTGGATCCGTGTGGTCTAGAAATCATGTCAACGCAAGTACGTGGATATATTGGCGCATTATTTGTTCCAGACTGTAATGCACGGAACCCTAAGACTCAATTTTCCCATTTAGGCATGCAAATACAAATAGAATTTCCTCTTTGTTCAGAGTTTTTATAAATAATTGTTTTTATTGATATTAAATTGAGTTTTTGTGTGGATGAAAGGGCAAAACACATAATAAAGTATTCGTTTTTCCAGATATGTATTGACTAAGCCTAAGTCCACCTAGGAGGAGTGTCCAAAGTGTGGCATTTTTAATTTAAAGAAAATATGTAAATATGCCTTAAATATGCCTGTAGTTTAATTTTGCCAGTTTTGACCCCTGGGGCAAAATGTTTGGACACATTTAATCTGAGGGTTTCACTGTTGGTTTCTGCAGGTGGGGACGACCTATCCTTCCCCAGATCCCCTGGACACCCAGAGTGGAGGACTGGACTTCTATGGACAGAGGCCTTGGAGACAAGGACACCAGAGTATGTTTTTCTTTTTTAACCTGAACTACTAAACTGAAGCAGACCTGGATCAGATCTGGACTAGAAAGCAGCATCACTAAATCTAAAATGTCCTCACAACATGTCCTACACACACACACACACACACACACATTCACACACACAAACACATGGTGACTTTTAGTCTAACATCATCAGCATATTTGGATGATGAGAGTTGGAACAACACTCATTTATCTTTGGGATGACTAAAGTATTTCTAAAATGAAAACTTTGAAAGTTGTTGCTGCAGATCACTTTGAATCTGCAGCACAATTTAAAGTAAAAAAACAATTTAAAGTAAAGTTCTCCACCTGTTTAAGAAGCTAACACAGGGTTTGAATGAAAGGCCTTCTGAACTCACACCATTGTTGTGATTTCTAGGTATTGATCCAACAGATCCAGAGAAGGAGAAGCGGGGGATCCTGGCTCTGCAGATTAAGGAGAGAGATGTCCCACACTCTGTAAGGAACCTCCCATCTGACTTTATGGAAGCTGCTCTTCATCATAGTCACAACTCCATCTAGTTAATAGGGAGTAGGTTCCAAAAAATGCCTCTGAATCCATAGACATTATTTATGAAACATAAGTGAAGTGAAATAATTTGAGTCAAAACTCCTGCATGTGTTAAACAGCAGAATTTAAAACACATTATTTCTTTTTACCACATCTGTATATGTATCTCAGTATAGAACTATAAAAAGCGTTTCCTGCTAAAATGCAGTGTCAATGCTGTAAGCCGAATCTTTTTGCTGAGAACTGCTGAAGTTCAAAACACTTTCTGAAAACATAATAAATAAGCAGAAGCTGATGGAAAAACTTTTAGTGGCTGTAAAAACCCAGTGGATGATGGTGAGCATCATCCTTTAGATCTCCTGCAGCATGTGTTCTGAAGCTCAGTCCTGGTCTCAGGTAGCTTCTGATGTAAAGAACGGTTGTGAATACCACCTGCTGCTCTGCTCTGCTGAAGTAAAACCCACTGTGTCTGCGTCTGCCTTCACAGGAGCTGATAATAGCACTTCTCAGTAACGCTGTGGCCCAGTTCAAGAAGTACAAGTGCCCTCGAATGAAGAGTCACCTGAGTAAGTGTTTGCCTCTTCTCCATTCAGTCTTCCTAACAGCACCATATATCAGCACTGACGTTGGTATCAAACATTACTAGTTATTTTTTAACTTATCGGTCTGATGAAACCAAGCTGATATGAACAAGCAATATTTCTTTCCATATTGTTGCCGTTTGTTTCTGGAGAGGGAAGGATGGAGGTTGGTCACGTGATAGTGATAGCGATGCACCAAAGGATTGTGGGGAAACAGAGAAGCAGTAGTGAAGTCAGAAGTATGCTTGTGTTTTTCAAGGTATCGAAACGGTAGTGCTGTAACAATCAATCATGACGAATCGATTATTGAAATAACCGTCAACTAATTCAGGAATCGATTAATTGCTGACGGAAGTAAACAGACTCAAAACACATCTAAGAACAACATTCTTAGAGCAGTAATAAAGCCAAAAATATGCACAGATTTCTGTAAATCTGTTCTACTTAGATCTCTTCATGTGGCATTTTCAGCTTCACCAGGGTCAAATTTATAGAGGAATTAATGGTGCTAACCTCATGGAATACATAAATAAGAAATGATACACAAACTCCATTCTCTCTGCTTATAAACAGGAAGACATTTAATGCACATCTGCAGATTCACACATCACATTTTCATCGTCTCATTTTCATCGTCTCAGAATCCAAAATGTCTCGTCTCTTACTTCTGATATCAGGTTTTTATACCATTCCAGCCCTACTGTTGTGTATTGGAAAACTTTTGACCAATGGCGTTACCGAACCTCGCTTGCATAGCAATTCTGGCTCCGTCTTACACTGGATGTGTGTTGGAAGTTCCGAGAATTAGGGGTTGACCTCCTGGAAATTAAATCTACTTCATCAGAAGAACTATTAGTCAAGTTGTTGGTTCTTTATCTGTCCAAACAAAGATTCTTTCCCATTCCTAGCCGGCGTTCTCGCACGCAAGCAGGAAAGAAGTTTGCCAAAGGTTTCTTGCACAACAACTTAACCTTTCCCTCTTTGGTGATTGTTTATTCCACATCTCTCCAATCTGAATTCCTTTCTGACTTCTAGGTCAGATTGACCCAGTACATTTGACACAGTACATTTCTTTTCAGTCAAAACATATCTTAATGTGAATCAACCAACAACATGACTTTTAACTATTAATATAATTATATTCCTCTACAAATTCTGTAAACAAAACAGAATTATTTAGCTGCAGATTCATCATTTGTTGTAACTGATGAAACATTCTCTAAAATAATGCTGTTATTGCATTTTAGGCAATAAAATGTTTGCTTTCTTGAGTAAAAATGTTTTTATTATTTGCATATTTGAATGTATTTCTAATATTATTCTAATATTTCTAATATTTTATAAAAGGCTTAAATGAATCTGCAAAATGTGCCAATTTTTTTTATCTGATTACTCATTTAATCATCCGAATAATTCATATTATTAATTCATAGTATTTGATAACTAAAATAATCGTTAGGTGCAACCTTAAAATATATATCATGTCGTAAATATTGTTTATCAGTCATAACAGCAATGTTGATATTGGTTATTGATATCGGCCCAAATTTTTAAATTGGTACATCTGTACTTACTGACATATGCACATCATGACTCCTGTTGACCCTCTTGTGTCTAAGCATTATTATTTTTTTTTTTTCGTTTGCAGTGGTGCAGATGGGAGAGGAATACTACCATGCTAAAGACTACACCAAAGCCTTAAAGTGAGCCCTGTGCTGCACGTGTTCCACTGTCAGCTTGTCAGGGAGGAGCTGCTACATGCTACATGCTACATGCTCTGTGTTTGTGTTTGGTCAGGCTGCTGGACTACGTGATGTGTGACTATCGCACAGAGCGCTGGTGGCCTCTGCTGACTGCCATATTGACCACAGCTCTGCACTGTGCTTATCTGATGGCCAGTGTCAAAGACTACGTCATCTACTGCATGGAGCTGCTGGGCAGAGGTACCAGGACCCCAAATCATCCTTACACTGGAGGGTTTTACTGAAACTCACAACTGGATCTAAGTTTGACTACTTCTGTTTTGTCCTTCAGCTTCTACCCTGAAAGAGGAGCAGAAATCCAGGATAGAGAAGAATCTCTTTAAAGTTTTAATGGTAAGACCAAAGGGTTAGACCAGAACTTCCTTTATTAAGAAGTAGAGGGGCAGGATCATGTGAAATCAACTTTTGTGAGCCTTAAGGCCCCAATATACTCGGGCGTATATCAGTCCGCTGAATCTGCGCGGATTCCACGCGGGCTCAAAGCAGACATCCGCCCGAGATGTCCGTGCATGGATAGATTTTTATGACTGCGTACACGTACTCAGTGTCGCACAGTAAACTGCCTGGTGGAAACAGTGTTCTCATCGAACTGGTTTTCATGTGACACTGGCCTGATAAGGTTTATAACTATAACTCATATAACCAAGGTTACATGAGTTCATATTGTTTCAAAGTTGAGATCAACATGATAAAAGTCAACATAAAGTTGTCACGAGGACGTGATAGACATGTAACCGAAAATACTTAACAGCAACAGGCTTTATATATTCACACAAATATTGACATGGTGAATAATGCAGAATTATAAGAACAAAAGACAAGACATCATCCTAGACTTCTTCATCAGCAGCGGAACAGAGACGTGGTCCGATAAGTTGAGTCTGACTTTTTTTTTTTCTTCCAATAACAGCAAGGAATAATGATCGGGTATGTGGTCATTTTTTATTGCTGCACAAATTGTTACACTGATCACAATTGTGGTTTCGGAACATACAAAACAGAGCTAATTGAATGAATCTCTCATTATAGCTAAAGCCAGCGCAGCCACCTGCTGCTCCTCTGCCTGCAGTAGGAAGCTGCGCTGCTCTGGGCAGCTGTTCACTGTCTTTGCCGGATGAACCGACATGTCACTGCCATTCTCTGTCCCTCGCTGAGAGGTGAATTAAAGCTTCTCAGATGGAGAAGAAACAGAGCTAGGCGCCCAAATAGTTAATCAAACTTGCTAATCCTCATTAGGATTGTGTGAAATAAAGGAATTTGTCACGAGAGAATTTCAGGTAATCGGTACGCTCAAGTATGAAGACCCAACCGTCCGCGGACAGTACGCGCAGAGTCCGCGCGGTTCATGGAATGCGCACAATATACGCCCAAGTATATTGGGGCCTTTAGATCATGTTATAATATTATTTCCTCATCAAAAACATGCCTTGATTCTTTCATGCATGTTTGAGAAATCATTTAATCTCCATGGCAACCGTTCAGTTGTGCTAAATGCCTGGGTGAACTTAGTGCTGCCTTCAAAGCACAGCTTCTCAGAGCGACTCCCCCACACAACCCCTTCAGACTAGACAGCAGCAATTAGCAAACACCTGCTATGCTAATTATAGAAGGCACTTCTCAGTGCAACACTGATTTTTTTAAAAAATATATA